GCTGGCTGGGGGTGGGTGGGTGGGTGGGTGGACAGCAGTATCCTCGAGCGTTTGTGATCACAGTAAGACGAGACTCTGTACTTTGGACAAGAAAACAGAAGACCTCATCAGAAGAACCTTCAGCCCCTCTGGTTAAAAAAAAAAATAGTCCTGCACCCTCTGCTCCACGACCTGAGTTCGGCCGAAGTCGCTTCGGGTAGCCACCAGAGGGAGAACTTTGCGGCCTGGAAGAAATCCTGGAGTTTGGAGGATTTTGGGGTCTTATGAGAAGGTTTTTGGGCTTCGAGGGTGGGTTGTGGTCGGCGCTCGAAGTAACTTGCCGGGAGATCGGAATCATACTGTCTCACCTAAACCCCCTGGTGCACGAGGCAACGGAGAAAATGGTGAAAGCGATTTAAGTTCATTCTGATGATCGTAACTCATGATGACGACCATTGCTCTTGTCGCTGGTACCACGGCCTCCCGGCGACTACTACAGCACTGCACGCAGTACTGTCCTTATCGTAACCGCTGATGAAGCTCCAGGCCCCAATGTGAAATGCATAAAATAGGAGCATTATTGACTGGAATGGGGCTTTGTGGCATTCTACAACATGAAAACTTAGTTAACACTACTCTAATCAATAGGAAACCCTAACATGTCATGTTGGCATAATAAGTTACCACGAGGTGAAAGCGCCAAAAAGCTAAGGTCGCTGATGCAGTCTCGACTGTTCCAAAGGCAGAAGTCATCAGCCTTGACCCCAACAATCCCGTTATCTCCCGGAATGGTAGGGTTTTTCGCCTCAGAGTTTAGGGTTTTCCCGGAATAGTCGTCTTTGCTTTTTTTCTCTCAGGGTTTAGGGTTTGGGGATTTCCCGGAATAGTAGGTTTGGGGCTCAGGGTTTCGACTCGTAACGTCGTACACTCGCACTGGGCAGGGTGTAGGGTGGACTGACTAAGTCTACTTACTAATCCTATAATGCCCACGGTTCATGTAACTGGACACCGAGGGCACAACAACAACAACGGCGAAGAAAACGATAGCCCAGCCGGTAGTATCCGGCAATGACGGCAAGCAACACATGGGTGGTTGTCAAAATTATGGTCCCTTTTTGGGTCCTTATTATAATACGGCACCTATTATTTAGGGTACCCCAAAAGGGACCATAATTTTGACAACTACCCACATGTGCTTAAAGATGCTTCGCATCAACGAATGAATGCTGGAAGTATGGTGGAACTACACGAAATCCTTGAGAACCCGAGCCCTTACACATTGAACAAACTATGAAGCCCTCAACGCACTGATGCCCTCAATCACGGCTTGGCCTGAAAGCCAACGCCCATGGCTTCGTCGCGCGACCTTCGATTCAATCGCCAAGTGCTTATAGGGTTTTTTTACTCGGGAATCCTAGCAGCGACCATCCTAAATCCATGCCCCAACTTTCTGGGGTTCACAGCATGAGGGATTTCGGGAATTGCCACAGCATGCTGCTTGCATAGACAGAACTGTGGCGTCGCTGGTGGTCTTCCGGCTACGGGTTCAACTTAACGAGAAGGACTTCTGGCTGAAAGCTCTTCCCATAGTCTCCATTGTAGTTCCCCTTTTTGGCTCAACCAATTGTACGCTTAAGATCCTGTAAGGTAGCCCCAAAAAGGAACTACAAGGGAGATGGGTATGGCAGAGGCTTGAAGATGCACCTAACAACTGCTGAAACCTAGCAAGTTATGACGATCGCACTGCAGGTGTGATTCTCAATTTTCGGGCCAGGCCGGACGGTCTGCGAGCGCTGAAAAACGCCACACATTCTTGACATAAGAGATCATGCAAGACATGAGGGTGGCTCTTACGACAGACATCGAAACGATGCAGTGGATAATCATCATGCGCATCACCGTCGTCATCATGAAGACCATGGCCAGCAGCAAGATCGTCCTCATCTCGATCATCGGACCTTCGCAAGGCCTCAAGCCAGCCAGGAGGGCTGATTTGAAAGCTTCAGATGTCGAAATCTCGAAGCTTTGGACTCAGTTTTCGGGGTTCAGGAGCCCTGGGACTGAGTGAATGGAACATCGAAGTTGGCTTTCAGACATCTGAGGACAGGGCTGCACAAGCAGCTGGTTGTCCACGATTCGGACGAACTTATCTGAATATCCTGTCAGCGATGAGGCTCGAGGGCTTGAACGTCAGCACAAGGCCACCTACCTGAAGCCCGACGACTGAGATTAGGGGGGGCTGAATTTCTTATTTCTTTGGTTTTCGGCCGGACCAAAAA